CCCCCTGTGTTCGGTCGTTATCACGTGACGTATGCATAATACTCTTCCACCACGCTAGCTACCACTCGCCCACCCTGCATTTTCAGGCCACAAAACCGCACAATTACCACTGTGACAGAATTTACCTGCGCCACAGCCTCGTTTTGTTTCACGACTTCGGCTGAAATGCAATGTAAGCCCTGACCAAACTATTGGGAACCTACGGCGAGGACGTCATCTCTTACCGTACATGCAAGACTTGGTTCGCCAATTTCAAGGCTGGAGATGTTTTTTCTCTCGAAGAAGCTCCGAGGTCGGTTCGGCCGATGGAGTTGGATTGGGAAGACTATGTTCATCCGTGAAGGAGGACCCGTACCTAGCCACTAGGGAAGTGGCGACTATGCTCAGCTATAATCAGTTGACGATTGTACGTGGACTGGAACATGGCAAGGTAGCACAAGGCAAGCAGAAGCAAAAACCAAACAACCAGGGGCTTGTCCGAATGGTTTTTGATATTGTTTTTCTTTGTTTTCAGCCCTTCGAAGTGGCTTGGGCGCGAAGCGACCACGTCGACCAACCGCCTGCCTCCCTCCTCCTCCCTAACACTACCTTGACTCACACGCCGGCACGCTAACACGCCGACACTATGAAACTATGAAAGCAGCCACTTCTCAACATCAGCCGACGCCAACAGTGGCAGAGTTGACTTCGAGTTACAGAGTAGCTCCAGAGGAATACTTCGAGTTACAGAGCAGCTCCAGAGGAACAAAAGAAGACCGTTAGGGCGTCTGCCGACTCGATGGGCCGATTTGTTTTCCAAATTCTTTAGAGAAAGTGTCCTACATTGGATGCAAGTCGCGAAAGACCAGCTGTGGTCTCCGCTAAGAAGACCCTCTTGCCGATAAGGTTTCAAAGTATGTAAGCAAGTAAACATCTGTCTTTACCTTCGGTATACCCGGAAGCGGTTCTCTGAGGTTTTTCCAGTTGGACACTTAAGTTGAAAAATTAAACACGAAAACATCTAAATCGAGAGAAAATTTTATTAGGGATCAGCAAGCATGTGCGAACCATCATTATTCAAGTGCGTAATTAATGTACAAAGGCACCTATCACACATGAGTAGAACTTTCCAAACATATTAAAATATAAGGTCATCCATTCTGGCGTCTGAAGCACGACTAATTGCATTAGTGCATACGATTTGATCGAATTCTATCTTAAATTAAGATTAGTTGGTTCGGCAAAATTGAAAAGGCCCCAAACAGTTAAAGACATTGGTTACACTTCCAAATGAATGTCAAGGTTAGAGAGGCAACGGACTACTGTCACAAAGTGTTTCACCTATGAATAAAAGAAGCGAGAACTCAGCTGATGACAGTGGTATGAGCTTTAAATGATATCATAATGGTGTACGAATAGAACTCTTTGTCTGTTACTTATCCCCATCCACCTGTTAATTTATGGAACAGTTCTTCATTGAGAGTTTGATTTTGCTCCTTACTTCGCATCGTCAGGAATATGTAACCACCAATGAACTCGTGAACGATCTGAAACAACACATTTCTCTACAACTGTCTGATGTCAGTATCAATTCGTGATTTGTACCTTGCAATCTGCTGATAGAGGTTTGAACTCGATATCTTCATCCTCGAATTGGATCTGCAACATATTCAACTAAGAAGACGGACGAGTGATGTTTTCGACAAAAAGTGTACTGGGATCCGTTGATACTCGCCACTTTGTGACCACTATTATATAGAACGGTTATTCGGATTTCGGTTAGGAACCCATTGTAATATAAAGATCAAATGGAAAGAAAAGGAATTAATGATAGATCGCCGGTAGGCTATTGGATTATATCTTCGACCGACCTGCTCAACCCTTAAATAGTATTGTTGGTTCAGGACAAAGGTGGTGTAGTGCCAAAGGGCACACTAACATACATGTAGTACAGGGATCGAATAACTGACTCATACCCACCCACGCCAACTAAGCCTTCATTTTTTCGGGGCTGACGGAGTGCTACCAGATTTGTCTGCTCAGATAAAGCTCTACGGCTTGTCCACAGCAAGTCACTGTTCAGGTCATGTATGCATTCAAAATCACACCAGATTCTGAGTGAAAACCAAGTACCGGAGAGTAAGCCCCGTTAGAGGATTGAGCAACACTAAAAGGTTTATACTCTATCCTACATGTTGCGACACCATCGGTAGCGACGAATGGTAAAGTTGTAGCGGCTCTAACGTCAAATATGGAGAATAAAAAAAAGGAAAGAAATAAGGAAGTGTTCAAATCGATCCATCAATTAAATGCTTTGCAAGCATAATTTTCACCTTCAAGTGCCGAATCTCCCAGTTGACGTGCCATTTTTTCATGTTCGCAAATCGCCATGTCTTTATGCTTTCGCCATTGTCCATGTTCATCTTTACAAGACGATTGATGGCAACACCTGAACGAACAAGTGTGTTTACTCAGAAACTACTCAGAAACATGGGAAATGAAGCACACCTATCAGATCAGCTTTTCGACCGTTTCTGAAACGAACGATGAAGTAATGCATTCCATGCTCAGGCAACGCTTGCCAAGCGCGGATATATTGCAGCTTCGCTTCGGTTGACGACAACTGTCGAACGTTCGCATGTGCGTCAGCTACTCGTTGTTGTAGCTGAAGACGGGTTGCAGAATTGAATACCTCATTGAAAAGACACGGAAAAAGACGGTTAAATACTGACCGCCTGTTTACTCCTTGCTTTTCGTACGTATCTTTGCGAGACATATTCATCAACATTGAAATCGCTTGGCAATTTCACTGGAGACGATCGTCGCGCAGTACTATTTTCGTTTCGACCGTTTGCTACAAGTACTAACAAATCAAAAAAAATACCGTTACAGAAGCTCATCACTCCTCCTACAAACTAGGAAAGGAGAACTTTACATCAACGAAGTGCGTTAACGAGAACGAGGATACGTAATAGTATCTCTGATAATGAGACTACCTACTTGCGCTTTGCATATGCAGAAGATTCTTTATGCTTTCAACTTCTTGTGGATACGAAGAATCAGCCATAGATTTACCGCGTGATGCTAGACGACAAGCTGCCATCCATCGTGCATACTGGTGCTCCTTCAAGTTAATGAATTTGACGATATCCTTCGCTGTGAGGTACAACTACTGGAAGTGAATGAGCTCACCGTATCACACTTCAGTACAAAGTCAGTCATTCCCTCTGCGGTAGGAACAAGTAGCTTGATTTGATATTTCCCCTGAGATACAGAGACGTCCGGACTAACCTCGCAACCTACCACGACGACGTTTCAGAAGTTGCGATAACATACAAACAAATGAAACATTAAGGAGTACCTTTGAGGGAGAAGTGGCCTAGAGGAGCTTGGTTGATGTCATTCGAGGTCTGGTAGTAGCTAAGATACAGATCACGGAATGAAAAGAACGCTCGTTTGAATCCTTTGAAGGCGGCAATTTTCTTAGGTCTATAAGAAGACACACTTTTGTGTCACAAAACAACAGGTTGAAAACTATCATAGATAAAACTAACTTCATGTATTTAAGATAATCTGCAAGCTCTGGCACTTGCATAAGGTCAGATCGGCGACCAAGAGCGGCAGCGTCTAGATTTTGCTCCTATAAAAATAGAATATTGCTCTCAAATTGATCGCTCACAACAACAGTCCGATAGACAATAGATTTGGTGAACAATTCACGAACCAACTCGTCCAACATCATATCTACGTCGTCCTTAACAGGTCCTTCAGGCTCGGGAGAATCTCGTTGAAGTGTTGCTTGCAGCTACAAATCGCTTAATGATTCAACAGAATACATTCCTCAACATTCCCGAAGAGTATTTTATCGCATACTTGAGTTACAGCATGACTAGTAAAAGGCTTTTAAGAAGAATCTAGGTCATAAATCATCTGCCACGTCTCCTAGAAGCTTCAAAGGAGATACTAACGAGGACACCTTGTCATGGATGAGAATGAGTACGCACGTTGTTTTGGAACAGACTAAGGAGTTGGAAATACCCAAAAAATTACATTCTCTGAACGACTGG